CCTGCTGAACCAGCAGACTTTAAATGCCACAGAAACACATCCCCTGGCCTCGGCTACAGTCGGCACCCGGAACAGGCATCCTGAGTTTCCACTCTAATTGGGTAACATACAACACTAGGGAAACAGCTAAGTAGAAGGCCTTCCAATAATTGCATTTTAATTTTTCCAGGTGCATATGATTTTTTTCTTACTAGAAAACAAAGCATTAGTTTATTTATAAGAAATGCTTTCACACAAAGGTGGATTAAGGTCTAGTGCTTTTAAAGGTTTATTCCAATCGTGAATAGCCCAGTCATAAAACCAAGCAAGGCAAAACACGTCAACAAAAACGGCCCAGAAAATAGAGCACGGGAGCTTGTGTGTTTATGAGCGACGGTGTGAAAATGCTTAGAACTCACAAAACAAAGTCTGGAGAGAATCCCAGATTGTTGTAAAAGTAAGAGCTGCAGGGAATAGATGGTAATTAAACCAGGAGCTGCAGCGGAAAACAAAGCCCACCACTACTCCATGTTTTCTGGAAAGAAACAGCAGTCTAGAGAGGAGAGCGTGACGGAGACACAGAGAAACCCCAACTAGTCAGGCTGCAAAGGCACCAACCTGGAAACCCCACCCAATCCCACCTCAGCACTTGTCAAGAAATGAGGAAAAACCAGTTTGCTCTGCATTGATTTTTTTCTTTTAATTAAAAAAAGGAAGTCTGTAAACACAGGTTCTGCTAATGTCCATGCTGAAGCTGTGGAAGCAGAGGGACCTTCTTAAGTAACTGGAATTCCCCACACAGATAGCAAGGATTTCTCAGACCCTAGAGTGGTTCTTTCAATGGTTTCAGTCTTCCATGATTTAAAATTCTCCACCAGAGGAATAAGAGTAGAACTTATTTTTGAAATTTTAAAAAAACATCAATTCCACATGTTTACAGAGCTCCTTGGAACAAAAGCGAAGCAGAAAGGCAATTGGCATTTATTACGGTTCTCTTCACAGGCAAGCGCTGCTCTCTGCATGCTTGGTCCTCCCTTATTTGGAAGGTATTACTGGCCCCACTTTACAGACAGGGAAATGAAGGTTCAGCATCCAGTTATGTAGCTGATCAGGGCCCAGACTTGGGTACAAATGCAGGGTTATCTTTCTCCAACACCCATGCTCCCCCAGTTAAACCATGGGCCTCCTGCACCAAAGCTTTGGTAACCAGCGACGACGATAAGCTTGGAGGATTTAGAAGATTTTTGTAAATCGTAACGTGTGTTTATGCTGAGATGTGGGTGGGATACAGTAAAGGTTTCATGTGTTTAAGTCCAAATGTTTTTAATCCTAAAGATAAAAAGACTCGAGGGATATGTGCAGCCACATTAACAGTAGTTACCTCTAGGACACGGTGAAGTCATTACAGATCTTTAAATATTTTCTTCTTTTTTTGACTTAAACCTAGTACAGTGAATATGTACTCACTATGAAAGTTAAAGTTATTGGTTATATTTCATTTATTCAAGGTGACATATAGCAGAGGCCAAGGTGGGAGACTAATAAAAAGAAATAACAACAACAAAAACCCTCCGGATTTTGATTCTGAGTGTACAGCCCTTAAGGCAGCAGATAATGAAGGAAGTTTATAGTCAACACATAATTGAGTGTGTGCTTGTATCCTAAGGGCAACTCTCTCCACCTCTACTATAACCCTGGCACAGATTAGGGAAGCAAAAGTCTGAAATACTGGAGGTAGAAATGGAGGGCTGTAAAGTGTTTTTCTGATGCCTGAAGAAGTATATTTAATTCATCCCAAAGCAGATCACATCCACCAGAGCCTCCTGACCCACCTTCCCAGGCAAATCAACTCAGTGTGGACACTCTCTCTTCTCCATTCTCTTCTTTTTCTTGGTAGGAGCACAAGCTTGGGGAGCAAATTGGGTGAGGAGGTTTAATTATTTTCTTTTTTAGTAGAAAAGTATGTGGTGTAAGCACATAATTCTTAAATTCAGAGTTGACTATATGATCCTTTCTAGATTTAAGGTATAAACAACACCCAACTGTATAAACTCTGGTTTATCCAGCAAATTGTCTGTGTAAACAGTTTACAGCTGTTGGCTCTGTTGCCCATTACTCAGACCTTCTCAGGCTCTGCCTCTGAGAAAGACAGTCAACTTGCTTCCACCAGCTGCTCAACAAACCAACACCATCATGGTTATCACTGGCACACCACGCTGCTCATTATAAGAAGGCAATTTACATCTATTCTCACAGCAATCACAGTGGTTGAGATTGAGTTTCATGTTCAGGCTCATCCACAAGTTCTTGTGCTCTTGGAAACTCACTAAGTGGTTGGAGGTATGATTTGAATTTGTGAACGGCATTAGAAACAAACGTCTTAGAGCCCAGGATGTGACAAATGAAAAGTAACTACAG